ACCACCTTCTTCGACCGCTCGCCACGTATATGACGCATACATGCGCAAGCGAGATCGTCCGCTTCGATCGTCGATCCATCTTGGAGAATACGCTGTCGGATGCACCGCAACAACCTCCTCCGACTGCGCTTCCTTTTGTACGCTCCGACGCTAGCTCCGACAAGTGAGTATCTCGTTCCCCGGGTGTTGCGTGCGTGAAGCGCGCGCGCGCGCGACCTCTTCCTCGCGGATGTTCACCGACACCTGCGCGATGACGCACAGGTGACGCGCAGGTGACCCGCCGGTGCATCAACACGCGCCGATACGTGGGACCATCCGGTTCGTCTGCATCATCCTTCGCGGTTTGCCCCCTCGGTGTTCCCGGTCGAAACCGATTTTCGTGGACGAAACGTCCAAAGAGAGAAGGTTCGATATCGAAGGAAATTATGCGAGCAGAGTCCAGCGAGGAGAGTGAATGGAAGACTAGCGAGCGTAATTGGTCCCGGTTAATGGTGTCCGCTAATGGAATCGCGCGGCGCCCCGTATGCAACGCGTTCCCCCGGCTTTATATAACGCGGCGTGTCGAGCCGCGATAGGCATTTGGAGAACGTTCTCGAACGACGGTTCGGCGTCGTCGTCTCTCCTCTCTCTTTTCCTCTCCCGTGGCCATAGAGACACACGTGCTAATCGCTTTGCCCACGTAGCGTCTCCCGACGACCATCAAGGATCTTTCCCACAATCGAAACTCGCCACTAATTCTCACTCCCGAAACACTGCACGGAGAGGACACCGGACCTCCATAAACCTCGGAACGTTCGCAGGTAGTAAAAAGGAGGAGTTGACTCGTTGTGTCCAGGTACTCGGTCGGAGACGAGCAAACATCTCGATCCGTAGTTCGAGCGGTCTCGCCGATTCCAAACAATAGCGTTGGAGAGACCACGATCGGTGGATGTTCACAGTCCTGTAGCCACTGAACGATCACTCGGACGAGTTTGCCCGATCCGTTTAGAGGTGACGCGCAGACACCTGACCCGATCTCCGCGGAGACCACGAGTTCCCCGGGACTGTGATCGACCGAGGAGCTCGTTCCTCTTCGCTAAGACTCGTCGAGTCCTCCGTCTCCGGAGGCATCGTCCACTGACGCGAAGCGAGGGAGTACAGGTACTTGAAATACAAACGGACCCACGGAGGTGGGTCCAATCTGATGCAGGGTTCCCTTTGAGAATCAGGTTAGACCGGCCGAACCTGCTCCTCTGGCTTCTCGTCTCCGGCCCGCGGTTGTATACCGGCTTGGTGTACCTACTCCTTCTCCCCGGTCGCCCCAATCTCCTTCTTCCGCGTAGTAGGTAGTCACCAACCTACCTACTTCCCGCCACCCTGTTTGTTGTCTCTCCTCTCCCTCTCTTTCTTTCGTCCGAGAGCAGCCGGTTCTTCCGAGTGATCCTCCCCTGGCCAAACAAAGCCCGAACACGGGGTAGATGCCAAGACGTCGATTTTCCGCGCCGGCATTCTGCTCGTTCTCGATGATACCACTTCCTCGTTACGTCTATTATTACACCTGTCTATCCGTCAGCTCGGTCGCGAGCTGAATTCCAGTTTCACGCGGCTGCCCTCCTTCGAGCCAGCCACGCTGGTAGTAGGAGGAGACGAACCAGCCGGGAGAAGAGGGAACCAACTGGTTTCGCTAACAATCCACCTGGACGAGAAGACGTAGAATTCGTGGTGTTCGACTGGTTTCGTCCACGGATTCTCCTTTGGCCACGCGATAACCCAGTCAACGTCGAACCTGCTATTCTGGATCTCGGATCCTACTCGATGGCCTTCCTGATCCCTCCGATCTCGTTCTTCCGCCACGGACTGACTTGCCGCGCAAAAATGCGGCTCCCGTTTCCTGTCCGGCCGACTTCTTCGCGATACCGGCCGGTTCGACGGCTTCCTTCCTCCGTCGCCTGCGTATTCGGCTAAGAAGCCGTTTAGGATGATACTCCCGCGAAAAAAAGAACGTGTTTCGGTGTCCCGGTCTGACGGCCGCTTTTCACTCTCGCTTACCGGTCGGCAGGTTTGCCCGCCTGTCTGTCTTCCACGCCGGTTTATTACACCTGTCTATCAGAGCCGCGACCGCGAAACCGTTTCCAGTTTGACGTGCTTGTCTACCGTGCTGTAGCCGGTTCAAATGAATGGAGAGGCGAACCAGCTGGTCCCACTGATTGCACGTTGCGCAATCGAACCGAGACGAGGCAATGTTTCAGCGAATTAGCGGCCTCTTCGCTCGGTTCCGCTTTAGTTACGAGACTCTTGTTATATGGCAGGGGATGCGCTCGACTGAGGCGCAATATGTTGCATGATATGTTGAATGTCGGTTGGATACGAAATGACGCATGACGGTGTAATTCTATGTGCAAGAGGCTATGGTAATATCACGCGTGTAGGGTGATGTATGATGGTATAACGCGAGGTGATATGACACGGGACGTAGAAAATCTACTCGACGAGTCAATACGGGGCAATTTAATATACTGTGCGTGGAATATGGCGCATGGAGATTTGACGTTTAGAAATATTGACGTGGTGATTCTAACAGTGACGATTCAACGCGTGGTGATATAATGCGAGGGTATTTTACGGGTGGAGATACTATATGTAGAGATTTAACGCGTGGAGATGTTAGCTGTGGCGATTTAGTGCTTGGAGATACTAAGCGTGGAGATATTCGTGCTTGGCGATTTAACGCGTAGAGATATCAGCGCATGGCGATATAACGCGTGGAAATACGACCCGTAGAAATATTAACGCGTGAAAGTACGGCACCTAGAGATATTAACGCGTGAAAATACGGAGCGTAGAGATATTAGCGCTTAGAAATACGGTGCGTAGTAAACTAACGCGTAGAAATACTACGCTTGGTGATCTAACGCGTAGAGATATCTGCGCACGGCGATATAACGCGTGGATATACGACCCGTAGAGATATTAACGCGTGAAAGTACGGCGCGTAGAGATATTAAGGCGTGAAAATACAGCGTGTAAAGATATTAACGTGTAGAAATACTACGCGTGGTGATCTAACGCGTAGAGATATCAGCGCACGGCGATATAACGCGTGGAAATACGACTCGTAGAGTTATCAACGCATGGAAATACGGTACGTAAAGTTATTAACGCTTAAAAATACGGTGCGTAGTAAACTAACGCGTAGAAATACTACGCGTGGCGATCTAACGCGTAAAATTATCAACGCGTGGCAATATAACGCGTAGAAACACAGCGCGCGGTAATCTAACGCGTAGAAATACAGCGCGTGGTGCTCTAACGCGTAGAAATATAGCGCATGGTAATCTAACGCACAGAAATATTAACCGTGGCGATCTATCGCGTGGAAATACTGCACGTGGCAATATAACACGAGGCGATATAACGTGTGGCTATAAAATATTTGACAAAACCCATCACCATCACCACTTAATTCTGAATATCCTCTCAATATAATTCAACCATAAAGTCAACCCCAATCGGCAATATAACAAGAGTCCATGCATAATATTACACTACAACGCAAAATTATAATATGTTTAGCACCTATAATTTGCTATTCTTTTTCTTCTATTTCGCACCGTTTCACAGGTGATTCAACCGCTCTTCTTCCGTTAACGACGTGCCATACAACGCTCAGCAGCCTGTGATACGCAAACCCTTTGACTAGAATTCGTCCGTGTAGACGTAGTACACGGTTAATCGACCACTTGAAAGAAGCAGTGTAGAGGATCCTCGATCACAAAGATCGTTCGAGGAAAGAAGGAAGAAGATCGAGGAAAAGGGAGCAAGAACCGAGCCACGATACGACGAGGAAAGAGAACTGGAAGACAGCGCAGGAGAATGTCGACTTGCACCGACGAGGCCGACAACGCACCCCTGCATATGCAGGAGGCTCTGTCTCCGGTTAGTCCAATTTCATTTTTCATTTCATTTCATTTTTTTTTTTTTTTTTATTTGTGTACAATCGTTGAGTTCGTGTAATTAATTTATCTTCTCTGTGTGTTCAAACTGTCACATAGAGCATATATGCAGAGGAGATATTTAATATTATTTTATTTTTTAAAATATGTTGTAAGGTATATGGAGAAGGAAATATTTTATTTTTAAAAATATGGTGTGAGTATATGGAGATGGATATATTTTATTTTTAAAAATATTTTGTGAGGCATATGGACATAGATATATTTTATTTTTAAAAATATGTTGTGAGATATATGGAGAAGGAAATGTTTTATTTTTAAAAATATTTTGTGAGGTATATGAAGAAGGAAATATTTTATTTTTAAAAATATTTTGTGAGGTATATGGAAATGGAAATATTTTATTTTTAAAAATATGTTGTGAGGTATATGGAGAAGTTGGGGTTTGTGGAAGGATAGGGATAAGGTTTTGTGATATTTATTTAGGGAGTGATGGAACTTAGGGGAGATCTAAGTTGTCTGCAGGTGTATGTATAATATTTGATAAATTTGAGGATCACGGATTTAGGGATGTAGGTTCTTGGAGGTTTAGAAAGTTTACCTAACGGAGGGATGGTCTTCTATCATTAATTTTGGTATCAGGTTTTGGTGAATATGTGATGTGAACTTGAATTTGACTAATTTCCATATTTACTATTCTGTAATTTCCTTGAACTTTGAACTTAAACATGTGTAAATTTCCAAATGTTCACATCTTCAAATTAAAACAACTTCTAAATCACTAAATGTTCCTTCAAATTAAAATACTATAAAAATTACGAAACCTACTTCTCAAAATGACAATCCACTACAAAAATATCCTTCAAGCATCAGAAAGACTAAAAGCAAGAAAGAGTCTACCACAAAGAAATTTCCAACCTCCAAAAAATTCGCGAAAGCGTCTCTCGATGACGCACGTTTTCAAAGATTCATTATCGCGCACGTTGACTGTCCGAGGTCAACGAATACCTAAAACAACTTGGCTCTTTCAGTGAAATTCTTGGCTCGTTTAGCACCGGCCAAAGCAAACAGCAGCGAAAATAAACGCGTTCGATACGGTGTCGTCGAACAGGTACACTGATCAAGATTGCGATGGCCGGTTTGTAGTTCCTTGAAATTTATTTGAATTTCGGGTAATAAACAATTGCTTAACAATTCTGCAATTGAAAATAAATGTTACGTTAAAGTACTAATCTGTCAATTACTGTTTGTACAATAATTAACAAGAATTGAGAGTGATTTTGGGAACAGGACAATATGGTTTATGTCGAACCAATATAGGTTAAATCGGCCATATTGGATTTGTAGTTCGTACATTAAACATTGAGAACATCACAAATATTTTCTTTCTAATTAATAAATAAATTAGTTACGTTACGTTAAGGTACTGTTCTGTCAATTACTGTTTGTACAATAATTAACAAGAATTGAGAGTGATTTTGGGAACAGGACAATATGGGTTATGTCGAACCAATATAGGTTAAGTCGGCCATATTGGATTTGTAGTCCGTACATTAAACATTGAAAACATCACAAATATTTTCTTCCTAATTAATAAATAAATTAGTTACGTTATGTTAAGGTACTATTCTGTCAATTACTGTTTGTAGAATAATTAACAAGAGTTGGGAGCCATTTTGGGAATGGGACAATATGGGTATTTAGGTTAAGTCGGCCATATTGAATTTGTAGACCGTACATTATACATTGAAAACATGACAAATATTTTCTTTCGTCAATTAATAAAGAAATTAGTTAAAATAATTTAATACATAAATAGGTATTTAACGTTTTCCTTAACAGTGTTGTCTGTATGAAATGACTTATTTATATACAGGGTGTCTCATAATTAATGTAGGTACCCAATTTAAGATTCAAGAAAGAAAAGTTTCATGAGTTAGCTATTAAGGTTACACTACCTGTGGTACCCAAGTTATATACACATTATAAAACTTATAATTTTCCATAATTTTTCATAATGTCAATATTACTTAATTTTACTAAAGCTATATTCTAAAGTGTTATTCTAAAAGTGTCCACATATTCTAAATAATAATATATTCCAAAAGCGTCCATCTCAAACGAGTACACCAGGCTTACACCTCAAATTACACCTCAAACGAGTACAAAATTACCCAGCACTTAAAAGTTCGAATATCAGTGTACAAGATGGAAGTCAGAAAATAATCTTCGGCGGTGAAACGCCATCTCGAACGTTTCGAGAACGGTCGTTCATCAACGAAGTTCTGGCGTTTCAGGGTCACTCTTCCAGAAGTTCCATGTGCTGGAACAACGCAACCGGGCAATAATCTGTTTGGTTCGCCATTCTCGTTATTTCTCGCTACGGGTGGTAGTGTTCGGAGGCGAAGGGAACAGAAAGAGAGGAAGGTCAACGGATGACCTGCACGAAACGTTGGCCATGAAGTACGATTGCATTCCGTGAATTGTCGAAATCGAAGGGGGCGTGGATGCTGGGTCACGGCGTCGTTAATCACTGATCCTCTTTCGATCCCCGGAGAAATTTTCGAAATCCCACGTTATTTAGGTTTATACGACGCGTCAAGGATGCAATTAACTGGGGATTTTTTGGGGAGGGAATTCGGTTTGAGAAGCGGAGATAATACGGATGGGGAATGTGGGAATTGGGAATGTGGGAATTGGGGAATGTGGGAATTGGCGAATGTGGAAATGGGGAATGTGGGAATGTGGAAATGGGGAATGTGGGAATTGGGGAATGTGGGAATTGGGGAATGTAGGAATTGGGGTATGTGGGAATTGGGGAATGTGGGAATTGGGGTATATGGAATTGGAGAATGTGGAATTGGGGAACGTGGAATTGGGGGAATGTGGAATTCGAGAATGTGGGAATTGGGGAAATGTGGAATTGGAGAATGTGGGAATTGGGGAAATGTGGAATTAGGGGAATGTGGAATTGGAGAATATGGGAATTGGGGAATGTGGGAATTGGGAAATGTGGAAATTGGGGTATGTGGGAATTGGAGAATGTGGAATTGGGGAATGTGAGAATTGGGGATTGTGGAAATTGGGGAATGTAGAAATTGGGGAACGTGGGAATTGGGGAATGTGGAATTGGGAAATGTGGGAATTGAAGTATATGGAATTGGAGAATGTGGAATTGGGGAATGAAACTTCTAGCGTAATATGTTGCAGGATAGCAAGGTACATTGAATTTGGTCCCCTAGGATAAAGTTAGAGACAAAAGTCACCCTATAGGGTGACACTGGGGAACACTGATGAATTCTTAGTTAAAACTTAAGAATATTAGTTGTTTTAGAAACTTCAAAATCTCAAATTAAGGATTTTGGGAAATTTTTAAGAAAAATTCGAATTGAAGATCTTTGTAATTTTTTACATTCGGATATTCGGGGTACCATATTTTAAAAATAGGTTTATTACGAACTAACCTCTGAAATTATCTTTGAAAAAAACTCATCGATTTAAGGTTTGCAATATCCCTGAAAGAAACGCTGCGATTCAGCACCTCTCTAAGGATCACAATAAGTTAACCGAACGGTGCACGGTTGAATTTTCCAGCGAGAAGAGTCCCTGTCGACATTCTTTCGTGTTCGAGTGGAGCCACTCGTGATGAAGCCGAGAAAGAAAGGAGGAAGAGGATTTCGCTGCGTGCGATGACTCGCCTGATCCTCCTCGCTTCTCTCTTTCTCATTCTCTCTCTTTCTCTCGAAAGAGACGATGTTCATTATCGAAGTAATCCGGCAAGAATTACTTAATAGAATCTCAAAGTAACCCTCGACTTTGTTTCTTTATTAAATTTCTCGACGCACCAACACGAGGTCAACGATGAATTTTACGTTCCTCGTCGTCTTTTCTCAACCTGCTTGTGCGCAATCATCGTCCAACTGATTTTAATCGAGACGGGTTTATTCTGTTTAATGGAATACTTTTTTCTATTAAACGTCCACGTATTTGTTTTACTTTAATACACCTTCTTTTAGCCGAGTTTGTGGGATAATTATTAAGGAAGATCGTGGAGGCAGATAGATTGGAATATGAATTTTGAGATTTTGTTTTTGTGGATTGATGACAGTGATTTATAGCGGAGATAACTGGCGCTGTTAGATAAATAACGGTGTGTGAAGGCTACTGTTTGTAGATTCTAAGTTCCCCAAATTTCCAATTCAACAATTCCACATTCTTCAATTCCACGTAGCCCAATTTTCACATTTCTTAATTCCACGTTCTGCAATTCTCACATTCTTCAATTTCCACATTTCCCAATTCCACATTCTGCAATTCCACGTACCCCAATTCCCACATTCTCCAATTCCACATTCTGCAATTCCACGTACCTCAATTCCCACATTCTCCAATTCCACGTATCCCAATTTCCACATTGTCCAATTCCACATTCCCCAATTCCCACATTCTCCGATTCCACATTTCCCCAATTCTCACATTCTCCAATTCCACATTTCCCCAATTCCCACATTCTCCAATTCCACATTTCCCCAATTCCCACATTCTCGAATTCACGTTCCCCCAATTCCACATTCTCCAATTCCCACATACCCCAATTTCCACATTTCCCAATTCCCACATTCCCCAATTCCACATTCCCTCAATTCCACATTCTCCAATTTCCCAATTCCACGTTCCCCAATTCCCACATTCCCCAATTCCACATTCCCTCAATTCCACATTCCCTCAATTCCACATTCTCCAATTCCACATTTCCCAATTCCCACATTGTCGAATTCCACGTTCCCCCAATTCCACATTCTCCAATTCCACATACTCCAATTCCCACATTCTCCAATTCCGCATACTCCAATTCCCACATTCCCCAATTCTCACATTCTCCAATTCCACATTCCCCAATTCCTCAAATCCCCAATTCCCCAATTCCCACATTCCCCTATTCCCATATTCTGCAATTCCACATTCCTCCAATTCCACATTCCC